ATTTTCTGGAAGAATGAAAGGAATCACGTTCTCTTACTTATGCATGCTGAGTACAATTGTGAGACAAAGAACGCCTGGGTACTGTCCTGCATTTCCTAGAATAGATCTCCGAGAACTGAATCGAAAAGAATTTTCCGATCTATAGTGAAACTACATACAAGACTTTTTGTATATATGGTTGATCATATCTTATGTAATTAGGTACATAACTATTACTGAAACAGTCAAAATATTGGTATGTTATGTCTCTGAAGAGAATCTCATTTATGAGGCCATCCCACATACTTTTCTTATTGAGTAAATTGGTCCTTCTGTATATTTCACAGTTGCGCCTTAAACATTGGAAACAACACGTTGAATGAGTACGATAGTGAAAATGGATGGGCTTTATACCACATTGAATTCGTTTTGTCAACTGCGCAATATCCGCGCCTCTCACGATTGTTTCGCTCTATTGCTCCTCTCATTCTCTATAAAAGGAAGGAGAAGATTAAAATATAACACAGTTAATAGCAGAATACACTTTTGCTGTTACATAAATGATTTTAAAAAAAGAGAGCTTAAAAATCGCAGTTCGTAAAGTGCTATTGTTACGAAGATTATACCATGAACTCATGGTACAATGTTGTGTGAAGCAAATATTTTTAAAAGAAATTTTTTCAGAACATTGTTCGTAACATGAATGATTACCTTCAGGTTTTTCTGTATATCTGCTTTTGTGTTGTCGGAAACGTAGCAGTGTTTCACATACATTAACGTATGAAAGAGGAAGGAAAAATTGTTCATAGACATGATCCAAAATAGAGTCTTAAATTTTTGGTCATTTGTTAAAATAATAAATTTAATAAATGCATTGGAAGTCGATTAAATAACTAATAAGATAGAATTGGATAAAACTGCGAACTTCTTCGAATTTGATAGCTTATGTTACTGGTTATGGCGTGATAGATACTTCATCAAAAATTGATCTCATTCATTATTTCATCAGTATTGAAGGGGTTCTGGAATTTCGCCAATAAGACTTTCGCCAATAGGACTTTCACCAATACACTCCGTGGAATTTCGGCATTTGGCGAAAGTCCACTATACTTTCGCCAATACATTCCGTGGAGTTTCGCCAATTGCCGAAAGTACAGTGAAATTTCAACCATTTCATTGTAAATTAGACATAGACTAAGAAAAATTTTTCTCACCTACATTGATGAGTGTAAACTATGATATATATATTCTTATAACATTAATTTCAGTGCTGACATATATCCTATATTAATATTGTTCCATGACAAATGAGATAGCCCATCTGACTTTCACCAATACATCCCCTGGAATTCCGCCAATTGGCGAAAGTCCACTGTACTTTCGCCAATAAGTCTCCTGGAATTTCGCCAATATACGTCCGGGACTTTCACCATTGGCGAACATGCCGGCACCCGTATTGACTAGTGGTATTTCATTCATCTTTAAAAAAAAAGACCCCTGTTATGTTCTCTCTTCATGAACATCTGTATGAATAATCTTTCTTTTCGTTTGGTTTGATTACCTGCTGAGCATATGTGCATATACTGTCATGTTTCAGACAACAACAAAAAACCGCTGTATTGAACAACATCAGCCTAATTATTCATGAAGGAGATTAATGTTGTCGAAAAAGTTGATTGTCACAACAAGATGCAGTGCGTTCATGGTTTAGAATGGAAGTCAATGATTAAAAAAATCTGCTATATTGTTTATGAGGACAGAAATAAACATTCAGATAATATTTCAGTCCCATGTATGCCTTTACAGATAACTATAATGCATTGTTTTTCTATAGGTATCATATTAACTGGTGCAAGTGAAATGAATTTAATTCAATTCCATTCAAAATGGCATTAATAATTATAATCAAAGCATGATAACCGTTTATTGCTCAACTATGTAATAGACATCGAGCTCTACTTGAAATAAAGATAGAATAGGATTTTACTATAAAGAACATTCCATCACGTCTTACTGCGTATTCGAATCGGTCATGTGTTTATGAAACCACATACTGTATCATAATTTAATCATTATACAGCAGTTTTCATGCATTCCGTTACTATTAGAAGATATATGTCTTATTTAGAAATATAAACATGAATGGAAGTTGTGATGTAAAAATATATTGAGATTGTAGTATTGATGAATATGGATATAAGTATGTACGTTTATTTCAATAATCAGCAATTTCGTTACAATTGTATTATTACTTATATATTACTATTTCACACAATACTACATAGATATAACTACGTATCTATTACTATTTTACACGATACTACAACATCAAATCTGACCGTGTTTTCCTCTTTCTCCTGGTTTTTACACCGAGTCGAAAAAAGAGGAATAAGGGAAAGACAAGAGAGTGAAAATGAGCAAGAGGAGTGAGTGACCGATAGTCTGAGTAGATGATTTCTTCTCGTTGACTAGATTAGAACGTCTAGACAAGTGTTCACCTAATATGTACAAACAGTGGTTGTTATTGATATGCCAATTATTGGCACCTAAGTAAAGATAAGACTTCCGCAAGCGTATTCAAAGAAAAGAGAAAAAAGATAGCAGCTATATCTATAAAAGGCTGTGCTTTTCAACTCGTAGCATGATCCAGCCGAATCATTTGTGAAATACTTTGTTAATAATCCGAAGTAAATATTATTTTATTGGAGAAAATTAGTCGCATGCTTTCTGTTCGTCTACAACAACAAGAACTTCTTTACAATATTCGCTTTTTGGATTGCATATTATATTTGGTAAGTATTTACGATTCTACTTGTTAGCCAGCATACGATTTCACTGTATGGCGATTACGAGTCCACTTTGATAGTGCCACCATGGTTAGTGAAAGAAGCATTAGAGTCGTAAATGATTGCGATTGTCATGGATTAAGAGACATAATTAAAAGCATTCATATAGTTCCAAAATCATGTTGTCAGCTGAAGGGGTGTATAAATAGTCACCAATATGTGACATTTGATCACGGTGCTAGAGGGTACCTTAGATGGATAAAATAATGATCACGTGATTTTTCGACTAACTTCACTTACAGTAACAGACAGGGTACTGGATATTATCATCGTTATTAGACGGTAAAATAAAAAGAATAGCCTGTCAAATCAAAGAGATATGATCTCATCGGCTAATTATTTATTAGCATGTATCAAAGGAATTCATTAGAACAATACGGAGCGATGACAGAAGAGCTGGATATGATCATGTGAGGATGCCGGTACAATGAAAGTGATAGCATGTCACATGAAAGAACAACAATATCATCAGATCATCATCATTATGGTAGATCAAAAGAATTCAACAAATCAATATAAAATAAACACTAATG